AGTATATGTCCTATAAACGTGAAAAGAAATTAATTAGTCTTACAATACACTCATTAGGCCTGATGGATTGTGTTAGTGATTTGTATCCTGCCGTATATAACTCATACAAATATATATACAAACTTTGTGTTCACTGTTTGCGATTTTTCTAACAATTAACATGTATTAAGCGTTGCATGCACGGTGCAGCGATTCTGCGCATTCATGATATTTGCCAGAAGTTTTTCTTAATTTCAGTAATTTTCTCAGCGACTGAATAAACACACGAGGTTTCCAATATAAAGAATATTTTATACCATGATCCGTAGTTATGATATGTATTTTATATGAACCGATAATCTGTTGATTACACTATAAAATATTTAAATTTAAATTATGATGCAATTTTGTTTTTTAAAACCACTTAAGTGTTTTATAATTAAACACATTACAGTTTTTTGCTTAAAATCGCAAATGGATTATATTGCAACACTACTGTTTTAAAATAAAACATTTGTTCTGTTTTGGGGTAAAACATTCAAACTGTTTATAAGCTTGTTCCCACTTTAAAAAACACGCGTTTATAATCTGCAAAGTATTTATGATGAAAACCCTTGTAAGTCAGTGTTTTTGATTGTAACATTTCGGGGATAGTTTTGTATACAACACATTATGTTCCCACCTGAAACACGTATTGAAAAATGCTCAATATCACAACACTTTCAAAAGTGCTTTAACTATGCAATAAAAAATACACGACTTCACTTGAAACATAAAGTTGGAAAGTGTTAATGTGCAAAATATATCAAATGATACGTTTCGCGATCGAGCATTTTTGTACGATTGCACAATAATCATATCATATAATTAACACATTACATAATCATGTAAATATTTATTAATCAATATGAGTATTAACAAGATAAGTTTGTGTATAACATGGACAATTCAAATGAATAATAAACTAAAACAAACGAAAACATCTTTAAACTTGTTCTTTGATATGAATTAACGTGCCCAATCTCTTTCCCTGTGGTATTGTTGTCTCGAATGCAGCCTTTTCGAGCACATCCTAGTCATAGTCGGACAAATAAAATAAACCACTTGTTCACTTGCTATAATTTGACTTTATTCCAATCCCATTCTCACCAAATCCACAAATCTGCACTACATCCATTTAATCTCATTTACCTTTCATTTTAATAATTAACAAATTAACAGGACAAAACTAATTCCCAATATTAGCAAAATCATCTCGTCCGCTCTTACCAAACCTTTATTTTTTCTATTCAGTGTGAAAAAAATACAACATCAAAATTCAGTAAGTAATGTAAAATTAATTATCATTATTGTTGTTTCGTAGAATGTGATATTTGAATCAGAAATATAACTGTTATAAATTATGTAGAAACAAAAATATTACTACGCACAAGTAACACTTATAGAACTGCGTTTTCCTGAAATCTGTTCTGTAATTTTATTTGGTAATTAAGATCATGATCATGGGTTGTCGGCATAGAAATGTATACAGTATGCAATTCTCTGGTCTTGTAAATGCATGAATTTGTGTTACGTCATGTACCGTACCAGCCCGCACGCAATTAAATGATTGGAGGCCGTGTCATGGGGAATTATTCTCGTCTCTATCAAGTCTGCTTGAGGTACCGGACCGGGAAAGTCACTTAAGTTTTACAGTCAAATAGACTCACACAACGAAATACGTTTCAATAGCCAGTATTTAGCCACATCGAGAACGCCTCCTCGGAGACTCGGTCCAGGACTGACCAAGACTCTCTGGCCTCGTGGAGCTCCCTTTGGGACCAAGGACTTCGACCGTTTATTACGTATCAAAACTTAACCAATTACAAAGAAGTTTAATGACTCTAGGGCGTCACCTTCAATCATACAGCCAATCACACTAAGTACTGGACACGCATATCGTTTGATTAATCCTTCACTATATTAATAACTGCAAATACCAAAAGTCAGAAATAGTAGTCCGGTTGGCAACGGTTATATCGTAATTAGTTCCAAATCACTGAGTCAAGTTCCGTCCAGGACCTCGCATGAGCCGAAATGATGACAGTAACCAGCTAATCAAGTCGGACAACAGATACGCAAAAACAAATTCATGACAGCCGCTGCAAATGACTATGTCGATATTGGTTCTATAAATTATATTTTCCACACATATTTATAACAATACCACCACATCTTCAATTTGATTTAGGATATCTGCTGGTTCCCGTCTTTCTCAGTAAATCTAAAAGGCAATCGGTCCAAATTGTTGTTGCTGCTTTAACAACGATGCCTCCTGTCCACATGCTCCTGATTGTTGAATGATCGTACACGCGACATGAGTACCCAGTTACCTGAACACGCAAATAGTGTTCATTTTAAACACCTAGTTTACGAAAGTGTCACACAAAAAAAGTAGCAACCTAAATTATCGTTTTATATTAGTTTTCATATCAGTATTGTATTTATGAAATTTCTAAATCGTGAAATATTTATATTATAAGAAACTTAGAGGTGCGAAAATTCGCACAGGTATGTAGTAATGCCATTATTATACATCTGTCACTGTAACGCCATAAGTTACAGCGTCTGGTATTTTCGGTTGAAACATCGTTGGCGATTGTGCTTTTAGAAGTGTTTCAAATAGGTGATTTTCCGTACAATTGCGAGATCTCGCGAGATGCATGAAAGACGCGCGTCGAACGTCTGTTGTAAAAATCGAACGATTTGATTTTCAACTCGAATTTCTTTATTTCGTAGCTCACATCGACCGGCCGATCTTCGACAGAGGAATATTGCTTCCGAATACCCTTACTTAATCAAAATTGCCTATCATCAAATGTGTACAGCACATTATTAAGCATGGAAATGTCCCCCAAAATACTTTCGCGTTTGTTGAATCCCACGCCATGTTTGACGCCACTACGACGCTATGACCTTTGTTTGTCCTGTTTTTATGTTCGATTTCACGCATAACGCGTGATTCTCGTAGTGAACGGAAAATGGTCTATTGAGCAGTTTTCGAAAACAATGTTTAAATCACATGTGTGAATGTTCCGATGTGATTCGAACCACCGCCACAGCTCACAAAATATCAAACTCCATTAGGCAACAAATTAGTGTCTTGATTTCCAGTTGAAGTATTTAACACACAACATAATTCCCTGGATAATGTAATGTCCATCTCAGCCTCCAGTTCGAGTCTCATACCTTATTTCTGTTTCACTCAATAGTACTGCTGCCATAACATTGTTGCATTATTCCATAAATGTCATATCAATAAACACTTTAATGACACATTTATGTCCTCGTAAAACATTGTTTTATTTTGAAAAGGTGTATTTTTGAGTGTCCACAATGTGATTAATTTTAAACAAAAAGTGATATAATTACCCCAGTTAACACCTTTCCAAAAAATACTAAAACACTAATGGTTTGATAGAAAATGCAGATATTTTATAATTTAATGTTTTGATAGAAAATGCAGATATTTTATAATTTAATGTTTTCAATTTAAACACTGTGTTTTCATGAAAAACACAAAAGAGCTCCGACGATTTACAGTGTAGAGTTCGCACACATCGAAGGATCGGTTATTCTGTGTTAGTAAGTACCACTTAGCATTCTGTTAACAGATACAATACTTAATCTCCTAGACTGGCGCAGTCTATTAATCTTCATGCAACAATATGTTACCAAACGTGTACGAGTGTCGACTATCACTTTGCATTCTTTTAACAGATACAATGCTTAATCTCCATGCTAAACTAATCGTCCTGTATTAATACACAGCGAGAGTGAATGTACGCAAATCTAGTCATACGCGAGCTGTGCCATTCAACGATTTTCATGTATGGACGCCGACATCGAAATAGGGGTTTGAATGATGTTTAAATACGGAAAATTCAAAACTAACTTAGTATTTATGTCTTACATACTGATACTAATCGGTATTTTTCTATATTTGTCGCGACGTGAGCGACAAAGTCACTGGACATTTCATATAGATTGTTGCAGACCGGAGAATGAACAGATGAATAATACAGACCACACTGCGAACCTAGATGGAAAAGCACTACCAAGTACAGTTTTAGGATTAAATGACGAACAGCGATCATTAATATTCACTAACGCAACCATTTCAGGTATATTTCCAAATTTAGCAGATATATACATGTCCATGTTCCATACAGTGTATTATATACAGATATTGTCAAAACGATTATACTATTATTAGATTATGGATAATTTGCATATATGATAATACTATTGTAAGCATACGATAACTGCCCTTAAAAATCACTTTTGTGTGTGGGTGTGTGTCTTCACGTGTTAATTCTTCTGTGTTAGTTCTTCTGCAGGTCACACCTTCATTCTAGTTAGACGGTAAAAATCAGAAACAAATTCTGGCCCACCGTCGCCATAGTTAAAAAAAATGATTTTTTAATAGCTTCGCGTCAAATGTAAAAACCTCCTACATAGCTCATACTACTTAGCTTGAGTGTGAGCACAAATTTACTATGTATTTTTTTTTCATTTCCGAGAAAATTGACCTCATAGTTGGGGCTACGTTTCACCAGAATGGCTTTTCATACTTGGTAGGCATGTCATACCGTCTTTCTAATTGTGTGGTAAAATCTAACAATTTCCTGGCCCTTTGTTTACATGGCAACAGCCAAACTGATTTTTGAGTAGTGGTTTCGCGCCAAATGTATCTCCTTCCATAATATATACTCAGGTTGAGTATGGGCACAAATTTACTATGATTTTTGATATCATTTTTCATCACCAAGAAATTAGACCTCAAAGTTAGGGTAATCTTTCACCGGCAACGGCTTTTTAACTTTTCTGTGATTTATCTGGCTGGACAATTTCGGTGGGCAGGTAATACCTTCACTGTAGTTGGATGGTAAAATCTGAAAACAAAATTATATATATATATATATATATTATTTTAATTTTATTTTTTTAAGAACATAATAACATTTCAAAAACGTTTACAGAAAACAGTAGTTGTGAGCTACGTTTCTCAGAGAATCTTCCCGTTGTCGCCTTAGCAAGTCCACCAGGTGCAGGGAATACGTGGGTTCGTCATCTTTTACAACAAGCTACTGGTATATACACGGGATCAGTGTTCCATGATGGCCAGTTGTTCAATAAAGGTGATAACCAGACTATTTAAAGCGGGGGAATTGTCACCTGCACATGCGTCAAATGGACATAGCGTGTCATTGTTTACAAACAAGCGACTACCCATTAGTCTTTGCGTTTTTAGTGTGTGTTGTTATCGTCGCTTGGGACTCAATTCCCGCGCGTGCGCAGGTGACGACCCTCCCGCTTTAATATCATGTCAAGAGTATACAAGACATTGGATATTAGGACCACTGTTTTCTTCAGTTGTTATTGTTCTAATAACAATTCTGAATATTCCTACCAGTAGAACCAACCACCGCCTAATCGATAGTAGACTAACTTGTACCCCGACAAGTACAGTGAATCTTTCTCATCTTTTCCACAATTAATTGTGAATTTTAAGACCTGCTGATCTTAGTTAACATGGAATAGTGGCACATATTGGTAAATACATACATATAACCCCCAATCACTCGGTTTTAGTAAATACATAGTAAATACATACATATAGTTCACAATTACTAGTTATTATACATAACATTTTATTTTACGTTTGTAAAAAAAGGATTCAGAGGTGAACGTGATAACCCAACATCAGGAAGAACGGTTGTTGTCAAAATTCATGAAGGAAGTAACCAAGTAAATACAACCTTCAATGCGGCAATATTGTTGATGAGAAATGTACTTGACTGCTGTATATCAGAAATTAACAGCCGCAAGAGTCGGAGCCACACCGGAGTAGCACACGCAAGAAGTATGTGATTCAGGAAATACACAATTAGCATGGCTTTTTAAATATCAAGGGCCTTCCTGCCAATAAGTCACGTGCTCTAGCCATTGAACTCTAGGTCAAAATGCTTGGTTGGGTAATCGTTAGTTAATTAGAATACGGTGAATCTCTCAACAGTATGTCATTGTTGGACGATTATAGATCAAAACAGTATCGACTCTGAATAGAGTCGCTTACTTCTATTTATGTTATGAAGCGCTTCGACGCTAGATCACTTAACATTCATAAACAGAGCATTTGAATTGCTAATATTATCTCTTCCCTCACAGGTGTTAAGTCACGGGATATAGCGAGACAAATCTCCAGGCTGCATAACGTCGTCACTTTCTGGTTAACACGATACAATGGATCATTGTTAATAGTACACTATGAGGATGTCATGAAAGATACAATAGGTGAAGTTACCCGTATGTTGGATTTTCTCAATATTAGCGAGAAGGAACGTCGAATGCATTGTGTGAAAAAAGACATGGAAGGACAATTTCACAGACAAGCGAAAAACAACATTACCATGAATGGACTGGACAATAAAACGATAGAAATATTAAAAATAGAATCCAGTTATATATCTGAGCTAATATCAAAACAAAAACAACGTTATGATTCATTTACTACATGAACAAAACGACACGGATGAGTATCACGGTGGAAGTATGCACATTTAATCGTAGTCTAGGCGAATACATGGATGTAGTCTAAATCTCAATATAAATACAGTTTGTGTGATTGGCATATGCATGGAATAACAGTGCGATTGTCAAGATTGTACATTAATCATGAACACGGAGCCACATATTAAAGCGGGGGAGTCGTCAACTGCGCATGCGTCAGATGGCCATAGAATGTCACTTTTGCATTGTTTACAAACGCGCGTCTACCCACGAGCCTTTGCGTTTTTAGCGTGTGTTATCGTCGCTTGGGACTCAATTCCAGCGCGTGCGCAGGTGATGACCCCCCCCCCCGCTTTAAATATAAAGTATTTGATGATAACTGGAACGGGGTCTGTTATTGGCCTGATGAAAGCACGTTGCGGATGCAGTAAAACACGTTATATAAAGTAATCAATAGCTCAAATATCAATTCGCATTGTTTCGAGGCACGCAGAAGTCGTGGAAGAACATGAGAGCGTGCAATGCTTCAATTATGTACATGAAACCCAATATGATTCATGAATAGTGTGAAAGACGATGCAGTCCGTCCATGTTGGGCATTTTTAATATTAGTTTAAGTCACTGTTTCATGATCAATATTTAAAAACAATTAGTTCACTTTCAAATGTTATTACGAGAGGCAGGCAATTGTCCAATAAAAAAATGGATTGCAATATCGTAGATACAGGACAGAAACAGACATGTATCCTGTTCGCATATGTCAGAAATTTGTATATTAGTTCTCGCTCATATACACCAAGTAATTACAGATCTCGCGAGATTATGTGGGGCTTCAAACATATCACGTGACAATGAAAGCAGCAAATATTTTGTTAAGAACACGAAAAGTCGTCAGTGTTCGAGATTTGTGTAAATAATCAATTTATAGTACATGTGATATATACATTGCATGGGACACTGACATGTGAAACTTTAACATAGGTTTGGGCACGGTTCTAGAAGCCGTACCTGTAAACTATAAATAACTCAGACAAGATGGTGTCCGGTTGGAGAAG